AAAAAAAAAAAAAAAAAAAAGAACTGGACGAGATTAAAATATTTATATGGTAAAAAAAACCTATTTAACTCGACATTTTCAATTCTACGTTATAATTTGCAAGTAATAAAAAGGCTTTTACGGCACCTCACAAAATTAGAAGATTCGACGAATAAATCTGAAGAACTCAAAAAATTCAAAGAATCTTCAAGTCAATTTTACCAGGCATTTATAACTACTATCAGCTTTTTACAAGTCGTTAGAAGGAGATGAATAAAAAAGCAAAGTTAATTGTGTAATAAATAGAACGCTCCAAAAATTAGCTGAGATATCTCAGTTCTTAAAGATGAATTCTTCAAAGTTCCTGAAGGATTTGAACTGTTCAGCTGGTCGTCAAACCATTTAAATTTCTCTTCCTGAAGTGTGGATTTTTGCTCATTTAAAAACTTCCTATATTAGCCCCAGAAAAAAAAGTGAAGGACGAAGCGTCAATAGAATGTATGTACCTCTTATCAGAAATTAGAGGTGCGATTAATTCATATCCGTCTGAAAGCACTCGAGCGTGATTTGCTAATCCATTGTAAACGTCTGCGAGCAAACCGACAAGAATAATATACATAGCCGGCTAAAAAATGTTATTCAACTGTAAGTTTCCAACACCCATAAAAACTATTTTTCTTCTCTTACTTTGTCTTAGAAAGCTAAATACAGCCCTAAAAATAATGAACCTCCGTTTGAAAAAAAACCAAAACAAATATTCAACAACTCACAAAATGCCTCATCTCCAATTCAGCAATGCAGTAAGAAGCTGCTTTGATGCAGAGAAAACGTAAACGATAAGCTCGAACCAAATTAGCAATCAAAAACGCCGCCAAGAATGTTAAAGAGGCATCGCTTAAAAAATAACCAGGACTGCTGGCGCCCTAAAGAATAGATGAATAGAGCAAATATTATTACAAGTAATAATAATGTCAATAACTGTAGCTGCAGTAAATTTAACAAAAAAAGAAGTAACTTTAACAAAGGATGAAACATTTCCCTTTAAGAACAGTATAAATATGTGCCCCGAATTTACTACTTAAAAAAATTTAAATAGTTAACAAAAGCTAATTACTGCAGAAAAATTGATGAGTGACGACAATGCCTCAAAGTTGTTCAACTTTGCTAGATTCTTGAAAACCCTTCGAGAGAACCTCCAACACATTATATGCCTGCAAACCAGAATACGTACAGAATATGAGTTGTACATATTTACCACTTAGCAAGAAAAAAAAAGCAATCTCAGTTTCAATGACCTTAAGCCATCCGCAAAAATAAAAAATTTGTATAACTAAACCGTTAAGAAACAACTTCACATAGGATTTAAGAACGCTGAATGAACTCAGCAGACCAATTAGAGATGTACCTGTGAGCGACACTCGCTTTATAAATTAGACAATTGAAAATTGAAACACTTCTTGACGCTACTGTACAAATGCGACCATCAATAAAGAATTTGGCCACAGCCTATAACAAAACTATATCTCTATATTTTGAATGAAAACATTTTAGGAAACCATACGGACTACAACAAAGTAATATTAAATAGAGGTCCAAAAAATAAATTCAAATCAAAGTACATAAAATATAGTGAAATTAAAAAGTAAGGTTTTTTGTAGATAATTTCTTCCATGATACATAGATAAGCATCCTCAAACTAAGGCTTATAAAAAAAATCAAACATTTTAGTACGTTCCCAACAATACTTGAAAAGAAGAAAACAAAAACGAATGCACAAAGGAGAAGACAATAAAATCTTTGGTGCAGATATAAGTGCGTAAGTGTCGATGACGAGAAAGCAGTATACGTGAATTAATAATGTAAATGAAAAACAATTAACCCGTAAGAGAATTATGAGGAAAATCAAAGTCAGTTGCTTACTAACAGCTCCCGCCAAGCAACCCTCGAAACTAAAATAACTGAGGGGCAGGAAGCAAAAATTGCGTTTAAGATTCTAATATACCAAAATACACAATATAGACTTTTCTATTACTTTTAAAACCAGAAATATGAGTTATCCAGAGGTCAAAAAGTTAAATGCTAAATTTCTAAACCGGTTTCAAAAATAACAATCTATGAGCACGATTAAGTAAGATTGAACTTCATTCTCTTTCAGCAACACTCTAACAGAAAAAAAAAAGGCAAAATAGAAATATAAAGTTTTCTAAACAAAATGAAAATTAGATGACAAACGCACCTGAAGCATGCACTTATTAATGAGAACACGGATACCTAAAAGCCTACTAAAATTCCTCTTCAAAAAATATAAAAACAATTGGGCACCGCTTCCTCATCACCATTCTCAAACAACACAAAATTTCAGACATCTTTAATTTAGGTCAGTTAGCTTGCATCGAAAAAAGCATTTCTAGGAGACAAACTAATTAGGTTTATTAAAAAAACTAAACACACTCGGCGCTACTGGGAATCAGAAAGACAAGAAGAATTTGAAACAAACAAGCAATGCTTGGTGATAATTTCTATATTTCCGGACTGGTAAATGAAATACTAAAAACCGATTCAATGACACAAAAACTATTATTTTAATAAATCGCACCAAACACTAGATTTAGCGATGATAGCGCAATGATAGCTTTTTTTTACACAACAAAATTCTGTTAGCCAACAACAAAACGATCCCTTTTCAAGGTACCCTATTTCTAAATTCTATTAAATTTACATCAATGCTGAATGATACATATAATTCCTAACTTACCACACAAATAATTGAACAACATCACATATACGTTCAAAATTGTCATAAACTGTATAGGACTGATGAAAATGATAATGCATGACTGTTACACAGAAAAATTGTTCATTTTCAAAACTAGAAGAAGAACTGAAATTAATATGCACGCAAATTCCATTATTTACAAC